CATATTGTCATGCACCCATGTAGAGAGTAAGGGAGATGAGAATAGTACACAAGAACCATTAGCCAAGCAAAGGCAGCTATTGTATTGTTTAAGTCCTGGAAACAAGATAATATTCAACAGTGGCATGGGTAGATGGTTCCCTGATTTACTGGGATCTAAGAATGAGGGGAGATATAGTATAATCAGACCTGCAAGATTCTGTTATTATTTCAATAAAATATAGTTCTAGTCTTCCTAGAGTTGATTTTCCTGGTCTGGTTTATCTAGTGGGACTGATAAGTCATAACTATCCATGTTGACATCACCCTGCCAACAAAAGTGCATATAGTCCAGGCCATGGTTTTCCCAGTTGCAATGTATGGATGTGAAAGTTGGACCATAAGAAAGGCTGAGCGCCAAAGAATTGAGGCCTTTGAACTATGGTGCTGGAGAAGACTCCTGCGAGTCCCTTGGACTGCAAGGCGTTCAAACCGGTCAGTCCTAGAAGAGATCAACCCCGACTGCTCTTTAGAAGGCCAGATCCTGAAGTTGAAACTCAAATACTTTGGCCACCTAATGAGAAGGAAGGACTCACTGGAGAAGGGCCTAATGCTGGGAAAGATTGAGGGCAATAGAAGAAGGGGACGACAGAGAATGAGATGGCTGGATGGAGTCACTGAAGCAGTAGGTGTGAACTTAAATGGACTCCAGAAAATGGTAGAGGACAGGAAGACCTGGAGGAACGTTGTCCATGGGGTTGCGATGGGTCAGACACGACTTTGCAATTAATAACGACAAATCCATGTCTAGCTATAGCCAAGTAGTTTTCATAGGTAGCCCCATGTAGAACACATTTCAATATTCCAGATACGAAGTTACCAGGAATAAGTGATCATGAGCAGAGTTTCCCCCCCCCTCATCCAAGAGTAAGTGCAATTGTACAAAGTAGATTTGATCAAACGCCATCTTAGGCATGGCTACCACCTGCTCCTGAAGAAGGAGCCAAAAGTCCAGTAAGACCCAGCCAGAACTAGAAAGAGAAGGTCTTTGGGATCTGACAGTGCCCAAATCAACAGCCACCTCCTTTTGGTTAGGGTTAAGCCTCAGCTTGTTTGTCTCCATTCATATTGCCATAGCCTCCATCAAAACCTTGACAACATTGCTTGGATGACCAGAGACTGAGATATACAGGACAATAAAATGTGCTTTAATAGATGGATTCCATAGACCAGTGATGGCAAACTTTTTAGAGACTGAGTGCCCAAACTGCAACCCAAAACACACTTATTTATCACAAAGTGCCAGGCATGGCCCACGGGTGGGCGTGGCTGCAGTGGTCATGGCAGACTGGGTGAGCATGGCCGAGGCCAGGGTGGCGGAGGCCAGTCCCTCACCGTATGCGCACACTGGCCAGCCTGTTCTGCAGCCCACTGGCCAGTAGGCCACGGACAGTAGTGGGCCTCAGCCCACAGGTTGGTGACCCCTGTTCTAGACAACAGGTTTCTTAATTTGTCACCTGTAACAGTGGTTGGAATCTTCAGGGACATTTCTAGGCATATCGCACCTTTATTATTTTTTTTATAAATAACTCAAGGAGGCAAACCTACATAATACTCCTTCTGCCTCCTATTTTCCCCACAGCAACAGTCCTGAGAGCTATATAGGGCTGAGAGTAACTGGCGTAAAGTCACCCTAAGCTGGGACTAGAACTTATTGTTTTTAGGTTTTCTAGGCTTAAATGATTTGGCGATCACAAATTTGTAGAACTGGAAAACAATGTCTCTATATTATTCAGTATTGATTATTGATTGACTAACCCAGTGACATTGAGTAGAGGGACATTGCCAGTTATCAGTCCTCTAGTATGACTCATGGTATGATAGTTAGAATGGTTATTTGTTTCATGAACCTTTTTTTGCTAAATATTATTGTGCTGATATTAATTCACGTACATCAATTCTTCAGCTACAAAAAGACGTCTCATATGCACATGAATCTGAGTTCTGAAGCTGACTGAAAAATTCACAGCCAGATCATGTTACCAGAATATTGTCTCCATGAGAACTTGAGATATTCTACATAAAGACTGGGAAAAAACAGCTTAAAAAACCAAAGTACATTGGGCAGATATTCCATTTTTCCCTCCTTCATGACTTTCTCAAGCCAGAAAGACAGAAATAATTTAAAAAAAAATAGACAGAACAACTAGATATGAAAGACTACATATATTCCTTCTCCGCATCATTTCTTCTGTGAAGAAAGAAGGCAATAATACAATAAGAATCTCATCCAAAAATTTTCATGGATGACTTCATGTCTTCAACTTCATAGCCTTCTGTTCAGAAAGAGCAGAAGCATTCCAAAATAAATTAGAGAACTTTCAAGATACTGTTCTTAAGTAACTTTCTGTAACTTGAATATCCATGTCTTGTGAAAGTTACAATAGTATTGCCTTGATTGATTTCACAAGTTTTAAGAAAATAGAAAAAAAATATGAAGACCCATAGATTGGAAGTACCTCAAGCAGCTAATGTTTTCAAGTACTTCAGGAGCTGAATAATGACAGCCATCTTTTTCAGAAAGAGAATATGATTGAATATGATATCAAAAACTTTCTTCCATGAAGGTAGAATTGAAAATTTGAAACCATGGAGCATACTTCTATGAGGGTGAGGTAATAGAATAATCTGATCCCGTTTCAATTGCTAAACACCTACTTTAAACTAAATTCATGTAAGTAAGTAGGAGCAACTGGTTCCCATGAGGTGGTGCTTCTCTACTGTATTGAAAATATTAAGGAGACTATTCACTGTTACCCATTTATTACATGAAAGAAGTGCAGATACATGTTCTAGCTAACTAAAGTTCACATACTTTCTGTTTTTATTAAGGAATATAATAGATATATGTTTAAAAACCATTTGGAAGAACTGCTTCATTTTTTCATGTCACAATCCCTCTGCTCTGTATTAAAGCACACATATTGGCAGCTTTTTTCAGCTCATGTGGAGGCCTGAAAAAAGACATCAGTGCTTTAATGAGTATAAGAAAAGGGCTGTATTCATGTGAACTCCAAAACTTTCCTTCTAAATCATTTTCACAATCCTTTTAATGTTTTTTACTCATGTTCCAGATTATCAACATGTGCTTCATGAGCTTTCGCTGGTTATTACCTCTTCCTCAACCCTATGAACTCCATCCTTATTGCTGAGTTTATTGCTAAGGTAGGATAAGAATATTTCAGGGTCCACTGAATTCACAACTATTCTATTAGTCCAGGAACCTCAACATTTATCAGGGAAGGAGTAAATATATATAAAGTAAATGCAATTTTCACTTATCCGACATTCTCCTATTTTGTGATTACTCTCTTACATGTTGATATGGGAAATCAATAAAAAGCAACATGTACTGACATGAAAGTATATTAAGAATACACATGGCACCCCTTAGTGGCAACTGAGAAAAGCTTTTGGATGAAACAGAAAATCTTCAAGCAGCAGTGAAATTATTGTGGTGCAGGACAGGGGGGGTGCGGACTAGAGTATAACGGATGTACTTTTTAAAAAAAAGAACATCTCTGTAACCAGATTATAGTTCACAACTTGAGAAGCATCATTTTAAGAAGACAGTGGACAGTAATAGATTCAACTGCAGGAAGCTTCTCCCGAGAAAGGCAAAAGGGGAAACTGCTGAGCAATGGAAAGTAAGTAGGAATCTAAAATTATTAATCACAGAAAGGCAGGACTGAGTGTGGTGTTAGCAACAATTTGTTCATCCCCAAATCAAGAAACAATAGTTGGGCTAGTAAGAGCAGCCAAGAGGAAGAGAAATTCATGTTTTTGTTCTTTCATGTATTTACTTTTTCTTCCATATATGTTCTTTGTTTCTGCCTTAAAGGCTGTATTTAAGGCTTTCGGTTTCCATTCATACTGAATGTTTGCCCAGGATGCTTAGAGAAGGCCAAGGAAGAGGGTGGGAGGGAAAAAAAACCACCATCAAGCTGGTAATACAGATAGTCCTCAACTTATAATCACAATGAGTCCAACATTTTGGTTGCTAAGTGAGACAGTTAAGTGAATTTTGTCCCATTTTACGACTTTTCATGCCACAGTTGCTAAGTGAATCGCTGCAGTTGTTAAGTTAGTGACATGGTTGTTAAGTGAATCTGGATTCCTCATTGACTTTGCTTGTCAGAAGGTTGCAAAAGGGGAGCACGTGACCCCCGGAAACTAATAAATTTGAGTCAATTGCCAAGTGTCTGAATTTTGATCACCCGGCCATGGGGATGCTGCAATGGTCATAAGTGTGAAAAACGGTCATAAGTTACTTTTTTCAGTGCCATTGTCACTAAATGAACTGCTGTTGAGGACTACCTGTATTTCAGCATAAGAATCTAGTATTTTCAAACATCTACCTGGCTACCATGAGAACTAAGAATTTTCCAATCAATTAGCTTCCTTGGGTCAATTCATAAGCAGTCGCCTCATTTCAGCAAGCAGCTTGGGGACTTCTTGGAAGCATTTTGGTTTGGAGGTGGGATTTGTACAGTAAGTGTCCCACATTTTAGGGGAATCATCTCATGGAAAGCTTCTTTAGGGAAGCTTCTTTATTTTGCATACTATTGTTATATGAACTGTAATAGCAGCATTACACAAAGATAGGGCAGGCAAGTATTGAAGAAACAAGCAAAATGGGTATTTGAGATTAGACTCGTCATTTACAAATCTAAGTTATTTACAAAATATTTAAATACAGATAATAGTCCAGAGAAGTCTTTTTTAATTTCCAAGTCATGCTTACACACCTCAATCTATTCACACTATATATGTTGAACAGAGACTAAATATGTATTTTAATATGGTATGAACTATTTAGTTTATTTCTTTATTCTGAAAGTTTAATTGTATCAGCCATATACTGATCCACAGTTTCAGCCTGTTCAGTAATAAACAACACTCTCATTATTTGACCAGAATGAGCAAGAAAGTTACATGCCGCGTGTATCAATGTTATATTACCTTGAATGCTCCTTTTAAAAAAGGCTTTACAGCCCTCACAGGACCAAACCCCATAATGGTAGCCAGAGGCATAATCATTGCAAACAGCACAATAGCGGGTCTCCTTGGTAGACTCCATAGACAGGTTTCCCCTTTCATTGGTGCTAGACATTCGCTCTCTGCCATTTTGACGTCTGGTCTCCGAGCCAGGCCTGTAAAATGAACAATAGTGGGTTCAACAGTGAAAAATAGCTCAAGGTGGAAACACTGGGATCTTAGTAAGCTAGTTTGGTAAGGAAATGTTTGCAAGAAGAAAACTAAAATCACCAAGATCCCAACTTTAGTGAGTGGGTTGGCGCTACCAGCCAATGAATGAGCAAGAAAGTTACATGCCGTTACTCCCATTCTGGGTGGGAGTAACAATCAAGCTAATGAAGTATGATCATTCGTTACAAGGAACTGTCAAATCTGGGAGGGGTGGATTGATGCCAACCATAAATATTAGGGTGTCCATATAATCCCCAGAAGTTGAGCTCATCTCGGGGGAGGCTTTATTTACATCCGAAAGGAACTATGTGCTGGGAACATAATGCAGACAAGACTATTGGAATCATTTCCCCCTTCAAGCATCAGCAGCTAAACTTTGCACTTCTATCATTGCCATTACTCTTATTTTCTAATGGTGCATTTGGTCACTTTCTTCTCCAGCTTTTTCACACTGAATAATATAACCAATGAAATGAAAGCTTGAAGAGAGTCCCATTTCTCAAATGAGTAAACAGGAAGCATAGAAAGTCATTTCTTGAATGTTCTGACCAAAATCAATACATTTAGATGGTACCATCATACTTAAGCTTTAGGTGCCATGAAAAGAGGGGGTGTTGAAGTGGCTATACCATCCAAAGGAGTTCTTGACTTATGACCATTAATTTAGCAACTGTTCTAAGTTACAATGGTGCTGAAAAAAGTGACTTATGGCCAGATCACTTATAACTGTCACTGGGGTCACATGATCATGGTTTGGGTGCTTGCAGCTAGCATGCATTTATGATGGTTGCCACGTTCCAGGGAAACATGATTACCATTTGCTACCTTCCAAATTGGCTTCTGACAAATGAAATCATTGAGGGAAGCCGATTTACTTAATGCCCATGTGATTTGCTTATCAATTGTGGCAAAAACGATCATAAAATCATTCATGGTCACATGATGACTCACTTAATAATTTCATTGCTTAATGACTGAAGTTCTGATCTCAATTGTGGTCATAAATTGAGGATACCCTGAATAAGAATAGCTCTCTTAGATTCAGCAAAATCTGCCTAATCTACTATCTGATCTTACATAGGATTCCAATAAAAGTTTCCATTTCTTGATCAAACATTTCTTGAACCTAAATGCTCAGATTTTCAGGAAAGACATAACAATGGTATGTTGCTTGAACCCAATTCAAATGGAGATGGGGCTAATATTTTTTTAAATAGCAGATATTTTGTATTAAAAACTCTCTCCCTCATTCCTACCACCTCTAGCACAGACAAAATATGAAGGTAATGTGCTAGTTTCTTATGGATATATATCATCCTTGGATAGTTAATAACTCAGCTTGGCCAAAATGAGAAATGTTAGTTATTTCCATTAGAATAAAAAGTAATTTAGTAACCCCAACTAATTTAAAGAGGGATGCATTGTTAAATAATTTAAGTACATTATTCTACACATTCCTGGATACAAATTTCACTCAAATAATTTGAAGAAACATGTTTACAGTTGAATTTCTACTCAGAGAACTCAAATGTATGGTGTAAAAGATACCAACTGCCCTTCCTTTGTGTCCCTTTATTCTTTGTGTCAACTTACTGTAAGAACATGAGACTGACATATGCACACTGCATAACTTTTCACACACAAAAAGGAGATTGGAGATATAATGTAACCATATAATGTAAGGGAAAGGAACCTAGGAAGACATCTAGTCTACCTCCTTGACCACCACAAGAGCCAATTCTTACATCATTGCCAAGTGATGGCCATTCATGAAATGATTGTCTTTGAAGGAGGTATTGCAACATGGCGATATTACCCTTGACAACAGTAGTTTATCCGATTATTGGCTGGTTATTTTATCAAATGATGTCTTAACACTACCAATTAATGGAGGAGCCTACCATACTTCTGAGATCTAAGTGGAAGATCCTTTTCAGATCTTTTTAAACTCTGGAACTTCATGAGTCAGAAAGACAGCATATACTGAACAATTATGCCAACTTGATATATAATAACAAACATACATTATTCTAATTTAGTAAAAACATAGCATGAAAATAACCACAAGGTTGTCCCAAATGACTTCAAAACTTAATCTTTTGTTGTTGTTGTTCAGTTTTCTTCTGTAAAGGCAAGTGTACTTCTTTGTCTCATACTCGGGGAAAAACAGCCGTGTATGAACAACTGAAGTGTATAGAGATAGCTTGTTCTCAGCCAAAATACCCAGACATTTCTCTGTTAACTCCTACTTTCAATTCTTTTGAAGAAATATTAGTCTTAGTTGCCTAGTTATCTGCTCACTTCTATCCTTCAATGTTCCTGGAAAGTTTCCCACTTTTCTGATACTGCTCTTATTCCTTTGATGACTGGTTATATAGTGCTTAAAATGGGTTTTTCCAAGTACTAATTAAAAAAAAAACTTGGGAAGAAGAAAGATGAAAGATATAAAATCATGAAACATCTGGAAGAAAAGCTGCACAAAAAACCTAAAAGGTCCTGAATGCTCCTGTTCATACGATGATACACCTCTTCAGCTTAGAAAAGAGAAACCCAGAAGCAATTCAAGCATAAACACAGAGGTACATGAAGAAAGGTGAAGATAACAGAAAGGAATCAGGTTAGCATGTAAAAGGAGTTAAATAATCCTATACCTCATTTTAATCACTGCCCTTGGTGCTGTCTGAGCTTGGTTATTTTCTTGCAGAAATTTTATTGCCCGTCACTAGCGCTGATGATGTTATCTAGTTTGGTTAATGAAATGTCTGCAACAAAACAATGAAGCTCTGAGAGCACCAAGGACCTCTCATTTCAATCCTGAACTACAAATATTCTCCTTTATTTAATCACTGCATTAGTATTGTACTGTAAAGAACTGTGAAAACACTTCTGGTTCACAAAGAGATTATTCTCTTTTAAAATGTAAGAATAATACTGATTGTCATTGGTCAAAATATTATTTCTTCTTTCATGAATAGATAATTATTCAAGGCATGAATGGTTTTTAATAATAAAATATATCTTACATTTAAAATCTTTTTGAGTCTGTGACTGATACCTATATTTTGGAGTAAGTATCTTTGAAAGTTGTTGTTAGTAAGCATTAGTATCTTTTCTCCCTTATATGATTTGAATTGGCTTCAAATTTCATTTCAAAGCAGTCAACAGAAATATATTAACCCATTGAAAGCTAACATAATTATAAGATAAGGACATAGGTTAATTAGGAAGAGTTAAATTTCCATTTTATTCTCATTATAATTTGCAGAGTAACATGATATTACTTCTGGTAGATTGCAACCTTATGACACAATGAAATTTCTTAGAATTATATTGTAATCATTCATTTCATGCTGTCAAGTGCTGTTCTATAAAATCTGGAAAGAGTTTGATTATTTAATAGGGCTTATTGTTACAGCTTATGAGAGAAGAAACTTCTTGCTCAACAGGGACCAATCCTGTTGAAAGAAACTAATCAGGGAGTCACAAAACTTATAGTTTCCAAAAGAAATCTGCATTTTCTTAAATTTCAAACCGCTCTATTAAAACTGTATTATGTCATGTGTATGAGAAGGGGAAAATCCTTTCATAAAATACATCTATAATTTGATCAGATACATTTTGAATATTGCAGATAGAAGATTACTTCCTGATTAGTAAATATATTTGGGGGGACGGAGGAGAAAACTCTCAGAATTCTGGGATAATTATGTTTTTTCTCAGAAGCAGGAGAAAAAAATATTGCTACTTTGGGTAACTGCTAGGCTGCATAGTTTGGCTGGCTGAACCTTTCCCTGAAAAATTACTCAGGAACATATTACAGGAGACTGAATGACAACTCAGGAGGACATGAGGCATAACAGTGAGCTATAAAGCTGCTCAGTTGGGTCCTAACCCTGTTGGTTTATTTCCCTGAATAGTATTTCCATCCTTCATGCATTAGAAAATTTGTTTTCCTTCCATAAGAAATAATGTTGCCCTGCATAGCAGCCTGGTAGAAACGGGATACAGAAGATTGTGGAGAAATGGTTTGTTAAGAGTTTCTCTTGCAATCCAGAGCAGCAAAGGATCTGGGTGTGTTTTAAGATGCACAGCCCACTGGTACAAAGTGAATAACAAGACTTGCTTGAAGAGTATGCATTCACCATATATAGATGGAGTTATAGTCATTGGAAAAGTGTTCCCCAAACTTGATGTTCTCAAACAGAGAAACATGGCCTTCTCCTCATTTGTGTGGGTATGTTGTTGTTGTTGTTGTTGTTGTTGTTCTTCTTCTTCTTCTCCTCCTCCTCCTCCTCCTCCTCATAAGAATGTATATTTAAAAAAATGAAGCTTCTCAAAAAAAATTAACTTCCTCAACAAAGAAATGGTATGTTCTAGGAATAATCTGTTGTTATTATTATTATTTATATATTGTTACCAAAGTGCTTGGAAATTTACTAAGGATATGTTCTTGCCCTAATCAGCCAACAGTTTAAAATCCAACCCAAGGACAGTGGAAAAGAGAGAAATAACGTGGTTTTTCTTCGTAATGCTTATTTAGGATTACATAAATAGTCTGTTACAAAGCAAGATTAGAACTAAAATTTCATTTATAAAATGGCAAGTATCATCCTCTCTTTAGTGGAACAGGGATATTTATACTGATATCTGAACAGCAGGACCAACTACACAGAGAAAATTGATTGCATCCTACCACATAATCTATTGGTTGTTTAGAGAATCTCTGACTCAGTTGTTCCTTGAAATCTTCTATTATGTCTTGCTAAGAAAAGATTAAATTCAGTAAGAACTAGCCTAGAGGCTTTGAAAGACTGAAATTGCCAGGAAATGCAATTTTCAGACATTGAGACAAATATCCTTGATTTCTTCTATATTTACTTATTAACCCCATCCCCATTCTTGAGTTACTTGATTTAAAAATTATTTAAACATTAATAGAGCTGTT